AGTTGTTAGTTTGGTTATTCTGCAAATTAACAAGCTTTCGTATGTAACTTTCACTCAGGAAGAGGACTCAAAGCACATTATTTACATACAATGCATCTGGGGAAACTGGAGACTCTCTGGCTCTGCTAGGCACAGCACTGGGCTTTCTAAGGGAAGGTTAACTGCTTATTCAGATTAGTCTAGTATTAACTTCACGTAACGTGAACTAGTTTCACTTTTTGTTTTCTTATTTCATAATAGTACATTTTTCCTATAATTCTTTTTAAAGATAATTTTAATGTAAAATAGTTTTGAGCTAGCTAAGATTCCCTGTACCCACTTGGGTCTTTGTTCTCGAAATGCACACACTACGCATATACTTAACTTCCAGCATTCAGAGAATGACCAGGGAGAGCTGGCACGCTTTTAGTTAGGTATGTATGTAAGTGTTTCAGGCTAGAGTTTCAAGTTCACGTTTTGCCACTAGGACAAGAAAAAGCTGAAAAACCTGAAGTATTGTGTGCCTGAAGTATTCAGGCTTTTCTGTCAGAGCTATAACAATCACTGACTGGTATAGATAACTATTACCATGGCTCACGTTAATAAAATTTCATACTTCTTTGTTTGCCAGCAGTTCTATGATTGCCTCTAAATGGTTAAGCACACTGTGATACATATATATTAAGGAATATAAAAAAAATTAAGAGGTCAGATCCAACATGATGCAGCTGGAGAATGATGCAAAGAAAAAATATTGAAAAATTAAGGACAAAATTATATGAAAGATCACTCATTTACATAGAACAGCCTGGGTGCTATTAGAAATGTGGCAACGAGTGAGGAAAATAGATCATCTACCATCTGCAGACAATTAAGCTCAAAACTGCTGCTGCATAATATTTTGAAATATCCCTCTGCAACACTGAAATGCAGTGTTGATAGTAGCTGCTAGAGTACTGTTGCTACTGGATTTAAAATATTATAATATCCTTTTCTCTCTCATAATTAATGAAAGCCTTCCAATATTGCAAAATTAGAACAATGATGTCTCTCTCGAGAACTGGATTCCTAGGAGATGACCAAGATGTTTCTATCCAGACAGTGTTGTCAGTCGTATCAGGAAATATAGTCTTAATATAAATCACAAAACACCACAAAGTTGATAGCAATAAACTTGGAGGAGTTTTGGAATGTTTTCAACTTTGTCTGCTGAGATTTTACAGTCATTTAGCTTGAAGAAAGAGTAGGTATATGAAAGCCATATTTCAAGCAAAATACGACAACCTTTATTACCACTGGTACAAAAATCTCCCCCTGATTTTTGTTTGCTTGTTTAATTATCTTGTCAAAAATAACGGGAGTGGAAACCCTGCAATCTCCACATTTCTATATACACCAAATGGTGACAGAGGTCCTAGAAGCCTTTCTCTACAGAAAACTAAAATCAGAATCAGAAGACTCTGCCTGACGAGAATATGCTGTCTGATCCTTCTCCTAGCAAAGTCAGTGGCAAAGGTTCCCTTCAACTTCAGTAGAAGCAGGAGGAGAACTTTCAAGTCTACAAACCCCAGTATTCTGATCCTAAATTACACTTACAATCATTGCAATCAGGATTTTTATATGATCTCTAAAAGAACATATTTAACAGAGATTTCATTAGTAAAAATGTAATGGCCATAAAACAAGAGCATTTTAAAAAATGTTACAAATTGAGGTTGTTTAAAATATACTTGATGGAATGAGAAAGTATGATCGAGCTACCGGCCCTACACAAGCATTTGACTCAGTAGAGTTAGGCTGCACTTTTCTAACAAGCAGCCTGTCAATATGAGGCTATCTGGTGCACTTTGGCTCTGATCCAGCAACACAGTTTAGCGTGTGCCAGTTGAGCACGTGCTTGACAGTAAGCACACGCATTATTCCTGTTGACATCAACTGGAGTGAAAAGTGAAGTACCTGCTCAAGGGTTCTGCTGGATCTGGGGCAAGAACGCTTTGTATCTTTACATTACACTTACTCATTTATTTTTATTTTAACAAAAAATAAAAAAGCATACAGTGGGCCATGGAATGATCACTGCAAAACTCGGTGTTAAAAGAGAATCTCAATGATCTTAAGGAGGTCTCAAGGGCATCAACAGCTTTTAGATTATCTAGAGTTGGGATAATTAAAGGAAATATAGCTAGTAAATGATACAGCTATGCTCATGTCAGGTTCTGAACTCCCATATTGGTCCTGAGGGCAGACTTCAAACAGGCCAACACAGGCAACAAGGTTGCTTGGCCAAGCTCAGCTGGCTCAGTGGAGCAGCTTGGAGATTGCCTTGGGTGACTCGGATCCCAGGAAGGGCTGCCAATGCACTTGGTGTAATCCTCAAATTCCACAGGAATGGAATTGCAGAAGCTTTCAAGAAACAAGTGGACAGTTGGTTGCACTGTCATGTCTGTTTTACAGGGTATATTTATGGCACAGGCCTTTATCCAGTAAAATACTTACATGTCTACTTTAAGACAGAATAGTTGCATTGTAGTCAGTGAGATTATTTCTTTGTGCTCAAAATTAGGTACATAACTGACTTGATTAGGGTCTAAAAGCATATGGTTTCCTACATACGTATTAAATTTTAGAGTACATTTACTAACTCCGATGGCCTACACGAGGCTGTAGGTATTTCCAGGATCAGACCTTAATTTAAAAGAAGATTGTACCAGTTTCATACATGAATGGCCTAAAGCACTTCCTTTTAGCTTTAAAAATCACCATACTTGAACTTTTAAAGATAACAGAAGCCCAGAATACAAACATTTCAGAAATATTATTAGCATACGAAAACTAGATGTTGTACTAGAGAGCATTTGCAACCTTATTTGCAAGAAGCACTGTAATACATAGATGGATACAACGAGCACATGATAGAGCTTAAGTAGCTTACTGTCTAGCAGCTATCCTATAGTCACAAAACACAGTGGAAAATGGTGCGTGTCTGTACGAGATCAGGCACAGCAGTCAGAGCAGCCTTTGTTTCCTGGGGTACAGGCAATGTGAATGTTGGACTGAGCTGTTTGGGGGGGTGTGGACAGAAGGGGAGGTGAACAGGAGAGGACAATTCTCTGTCTTGCCCCACTGCAGGTGTGGTGACTTCTGACCTACAGACATTTTTGCTATTTTGTCTAGTCCACACATGGGAAGTCCAAAGAGGGCACAGAAGTCTGCTTTTCTCTCAAGTATCTCTGTTAGATCTCAAGGGAAAAAATCTGTACAGACAGATATGATTCATATCGTATTAAAATGTGTCATGGTCTCCATTTAATTTTAAAAAATTAATATAGTTTAAAAATATAATACAGACATTCAGTTTATAACCATGGAAATCAGTGCTTTACAGAAGCCCCCCAAGAAAGTTTTGCACCAGGGACTATAAATGCCATTGAGGATACCTCTGGTTTAATAGTCCGCACAACAACCTCTTACATTATTTTACAGGCTTCCACAAAGGTACCATGAAGAATTCTGAAACATGCTTTCAAAACAGAAATATATGGAGATTTGTTTAAAATAAAAGCTCCATTTCTCACATCTCCATTGCCAAATGGGTTAGCTCAAAGTAGCTTGTTGCTATGGGAGCTATTCCTATCCATAAAGTTACGCCCGCTTCTCAAATGAGAGTAAGATTTTTCAGTCAGTCAAGTAATTGAAATAGTTGAACATCCATTAGTGATTAGGAGTACAAATCTGCAAATAATTTAAAATCCATTCCTCTAATCCTCTATTATGATTTCTGAGGTAATGTAGTCCACTGCTGGTATCACTGAAGCTACCAGAAAACAACATAGGATTCCACTTGAATCTGAAATTAATCTCTCATCTATATTTTATTGGGTTTTAGCTTAAATATTTGAAAGTTTTCTATGGTTTAGTAAGAAGTCACTTAGTAAATTAGAATTAAAACTACTTCCTTTGGTTTGGAAAAAAAACCCAACCCAAACTAGGAATTGGTGTATGTATTGCATTAGGGAGGATCCAGTCTTTTCACAGAGGCAACTGTATGCTAACATTTCTCTTACTTTTAAGTAATAAGAATCTCATCCATCCTATTTAGATTGAGTGGTGGTGGAATTGTGAAGTCTACACGTAAAAGGGATCATGGTGGAATCAGTTACGTTAGGGATAGTCAGTATGAGACATGCATGATCTCCTGCAAGGAACAGCAGTACAGGGATGAGGTAGGTTTTGTTTCATACTCTTACCAGGTGCCCAAACCGCAAGGTGGTATTACCTGGTCCTGCTCACAGCAGTACTTTCTTTCCTTTTCCCCTATTACAATCTCCAAATAATCATACTATCCCATCACTTCTTTTTTAGGCTTTGAAGTTGCCACCAGTTAGAGGTACTAAAAAGGAGAGACTACAAAGATAATCACAGACAGATCCTCGCCTCCAAAGTTAAATGTATCAGCAGCTTGTTTATCCTTCCCTGTCTGGGGATCAAACCTATAGCTAGCACTGTCTCAATTACACAAACTTGTCTCACAAATGGTAGTATCATGTGCTGACAGTCCAATAAATATAGCTGATCTGTACCATGAAAATGAAGAACATGATTTCTCCACTTTTCTTTTATAAAGCAATTAAGATAAGATAATTGCTTACGAGTAAGGGGTAATTTTTCACTACAGATTTATAAGCAGCTAGTATGCACTCTGCAATTGGCAATTTTATAACTCTACTACATACAGAAAAATAAAAAATATTTATTGTGAGATCATATAAAAACCCACAGAATATATTTAAAAAACCCTGTGTTCAAGTAGACAACTAAAAATGAGCAATATATTTATTATTAAAAACAAAAAATCAAACTTCCTAAATCTTAGCTGGAGACGGAAATGAATCCTTTAACACTCTGTAATAGGTTTAGTGATGCTTTTTAGTAATATAAACACTTCTGGAAGTTTGCAAAGACCATGTGAAGAGAAACTCAGCAAGCTGAAATACAGAATACATGACATAATATGAACATACCTTTTGTGGCTACCCTGACGCAGTCGATTTTGGTTTCCTGTGTCAAATAAAGAGGAGAAAGGTCACATCTTGTGTTTCTAAACAAAGAAAGTCATCCATGATTCTATTGTTAAAGGTACTGATAAAATGTCAGAGGAGTGTTCATTTAATGTGCCTCATTACCTATTTAACTGCTTATTAAGCAACTCCAATGTGCCTTCATAATATGGGCAAACACTGCTTGGGTATGGTACATAAACATTTCACTTAGGATTGCTCTAAAAGTAGAAAATATGTGAAGATATTCACAAGAGCACAGGCAAGCGTTCAGCGTTCAGCTTTTTTACTTTGGCAACATAATGACCTTGGGAGATTTTTGGTTTTCTTACAGATAGTATAGTTAGAGGCATCATGCTAGACAATTTTAGAAAGAAAAAATAATCAATGGTCTTTCAGATTTCTGCACTGTGAAAGAGGGACCCCATTATGGTTTCTGGCAGAAAACATTTACAGGCTGTCAGCACAAACAACCAAAGCTTATCAAGAATTGAAGGGCTCTGGGTGGGTCTGTCCAGGAAATGAAAAACAATTCCGGGAAGAATAAGTCCGATGAAACATGAACTGCGAAGATCTTTTTGCACACTTTTCATTTCGGTTCCATCTACTTATTTTTCTTTTATTGTTTGCAGAAAGGGGGAAAAAAAGTGGTTTCTAATTCAGTCAGGGCAACCAAATGAGAAAAATGGGAGTTCAAGACGTTACAAACCAAGGTAATGTGACTGGACAGGCCAAGACAGATGTGCTAAAATCCACAATCAAGTTTGGCTTAAACTTAACAAAAGAAATCAAACGCTCTCCTCTTCAAAGCAGGAAAAGAAAAAAGAAAAAAAAAAGAAAGAAAAAAAGCTAAATACATTCATTGGACAGCTTTTAGATAATGAGACAGAATGGTAATGCCCTACTTTGCCTACTCACTATGGACAAAATGTGCTGTTTTCCTGTCCTCTTTCCTGTAACCTTTAATCATTAAGCAATATTGTGTTAGGAAAACTGCTGTTTTTTAAACACAGTGTGTTAAATTTCATGGTTACTTCATTTTCTCATTAGCAACTAAATTGGGTATCTTGCTAGTTGGTGCAAATCATCTATTTACATGCAAATACTGTATAAAACCACACCTGTCTTAAGACTTACCCCATTGGCTCTGCTAGCAGCTTGAAAATAGATGCTGTAGCTCTTATGAGGAAGAAGAGGAGTGTTCCAGAACCCACTGTAGGTTTTGTTATCACCAATAGTAAAAGGCTGAGGAGTTTGTAAACCATTGGCTGGAAACTCTGCAGCAAAGTAGTACTGGGAATTCAAAAGTGAAGCATTCTGGAAATGAATCGGCACTGGGTAGCACTTCAGGATTTCAGTTGCCTTTTTGATCCTCCGTGGGCGTTCTTCTTCAACAACTATTTGATAGACACTAAGAGTGTAGAAAGGAAAGAACAAAAGAAACACACGGGTTATTTTAAGACCTGGGCAGTCAACTCATTCTGAAACCGTAACAGAATACCAGTATTTATGGAAAAAAAAGAACTGTTAAGAGCAAAGGACAAGGGAAGAAAATGACATTTTGATATTCAGGTATATGAATCTGTAGAATAGATTCAAGCTTTCAAACAAATCCATTTCGATTCAGAAAAACAAAATTAGCCATACACAGCACAGCTTTCGACATAGCAAATGCACAGAACACTTTCTTGTTCAAACTCTTGTACAGAAAAAGCTTGCTTGATCAGTGCTAAAATGTGGAACTAAGTATTATTTTGTTCACAGAAGTAAGTATAAAGCTATAGAATGCATTCTCTAACCTCTTTATCTTGCCTAAACTAAATGAAATGAGTATTGAGATAAAAATGAGGAAATAAATTACAAAGAGACAGGGAATAGTATTTGCTTAACTGTTGACATTATAACTATTTATAAAAGCATACACAGAGTAAATTACAGTCTTTTAACATTTCGGTGGCATATTGACTGTTACTGAGTGAGAATAAAACACTTCGTGATAGAAGTTCTTCTCACTCAACACAGCACTTTTACACATCGTAGAGATAACCATAATTTTAAGTGTTTCTGCATTCTGCAAAGCAATTCAGTTTGCATTCTTTGCGGTACTGGGACCTCCAGGGAACAGTCCATCCCTCTCTGCTGTAAAGGTGCTATGGACATTCAAGCAGGAACAAAGAAATTGTGATTTCTGCTGTATATGCAAACAGTGTAATCATTATACCCTTGCAGTTGCTGTAAAAGCCTGAGTCAGTGCTTTCAAATTTGTGAAGTGGGAAGTCCATGTCTCTAAAGAGGACTGGCTTGCAAGTTTATTGCTTCACTGGGGACCAGTGATTCTTAATCATTATTTGTCTCCTGGAATCTTGAATCCTGGTAAGCAAGTCAGTATAGGTAAGTCATGTTAAAGCAGCAATGTATCCACATTTTTGCACACCATCTACATCTAATAACAATTTATGATCTTTCAAGTTGATAATTCATAAAAAGCAGCAATCTCTGGGTAGGGTATGTTTCTTAAAGATGAAATACCCACACTGTCTTCCGACATGTCCTTCCCACTCCGTCATCTGTAGGTAGATGATTACATTTACAGAAGACTCTGCCCAAAGCACAGGGACGCTTCGGCTGGCGCTCTGCAGGTCTCGGTCTGGACCCAAGAGGGCTTACTGGCTTAGTCATATCACTGCACAGCGATGCCTATTCCCCTTCTGAACAATAATCTGCTTTAGAAATAAAAGAGATGACTGTGCAGTCACCAAGCCAGCTCACAGCCAGTGAGCTCCTGCGCCTGCCGCAGCCCTGCCAGGCTCAAGCTGCTTGGAGCGCAGGCACTGAGTTCCCCAGCTCTTGCGCTCTCGGGAGCCTCACCGACTCAGTGCACAACCAGACTCACACACGCTTCTACGCTCGAGCTGCCTTTGCATGTTTAGATAATGCCATGTGCTTGAACGATGCCCCATCCCTGGAAGTGTTCAAGACCAGGCTGGATGGGGCTTTGAGCAAACTGGTCTGGTGGAAGGTGTCCCTCCCCACGGCAGAGCGGCAGGACTAGATGATCTTTAAAGTCCCTTCCAACTCAAACCATTCGATGGCTTCATGATTCTATGACAGTATGATGCTAGGTCTGCACAGGCTTCATAGCTGACTATCACCAAGAGGACATCTTACTGTTATTTTTTACCAGACCTACTGATCATGTGCAACGGACCTAGCTCACGATGTTTTTAAGATCTAGCATCTCTGGTAGGAGATGCTGCACTTCCTGTACTCACAAAAAATGCCTGGAAAGGTGGTACTGAAAATGCTTAATACCTCTTCTTCTGCCTGATTTAGAGCTTCAATATGGTGGAGATTTAGTTTAATGTTAAGACACTTAAATGTAAATGTCTTCATGAAGATGTCTATACAACTGTAAACTCCCATTACAGTCACTGGAGAGCTACTCAGTACAGGCAACAGATCTTAAAGACCTGACCAGCGAGGAGGTGTCTACTTTTGGGTCAACTTCATTGCTTTCCAGGCTCCATTGACTATAGTAACTAAATACTCAGCTCACATGTAGATAACTACAAGTGAACACCTAAATTTAGACATTTTAATCAAAAAAAACAGAAATCTAACCATGTATAAGTTTGGTACAGCCAGGGAGACAAACAAATGTGGTGAGGGTCCACCTGAAGGCCACTGTCTGTACATTTTGCAGCTCTGTCACATAAAGCCTACACATCTAGCAGGAAGGTTTTCATTAGTTGATTAATTCCATGCTGAGTAGTAAATGAAGGTCAATACATGGCAACCTTTCTTTGATACTCTGAGAACTGATCTGTAATAACTAGCCATGAAATATCTACGTTACAATCCTACTTCTTCTCTTCCCAATCAATGTTCGACATGACTTTAGCAGTTAATTTTCTAGAACAAAACACAGTTGCTTAGAACTGGGATTCCAAGCTACTTTGAAGAGAGTACGTTGCCTCCTCTAACTACTAATTTACAGTGAATCTTCAATAAATACCGTTTGCAAATTTAAATGGAATATTGGGAAAAAAGTAGAAGGTGATGTAAACATCTATTCTTGCAAGGTAGTGAAGCTGGATACACTTGCCTAATACTGCAGCAAAGATAAGAATCCCTCAGTTTCACTAAAGCACGACGGACAGTAAACTAAGTTATCTGGCTATCGCCTTCGGGAGAGTATTGTTACCTTTTTTATGGCAGCAGGGCTGAATATAAGAGGGACCTCAGACCAGACACGGTAACATGACCTGTTTCAGTACTGACTGAAATGAGGATTCTTTTCATTTTTCACTCAGTGATTAAAGCTAAAGATTGTAGATTTTAGAAACAAATCTGTCATTAAAATGCTCCTCTTCCTCTGGCAAATTCATCTTAGTTATACTACATGCACTACTCATTGTATATCACATTTTAAATGCCTGCCATCTATTCATCTTCAGATACGTTAAAGAAAGAACTAAGTTGACTGGAGCAATTTCAAACTCAAAATGTCTTTCCCTCCTTACTCCACAAGACAAATTAGATTTGCAAGCATCTACACCTGAAATCTATTTGCTCTTTAATAATTTAAGCACTGAAAGGTCAAGCAGCTCTTTTCTGTTCCCCTTTATGAAAGTCCAAGTGCTAATGAAAAATAACTAAATCCTATCTGCTGCCCAATTCCCACACATTGCTGTTTCTCTGATGTAAATTAACACATTAAAAGCACCTGGGTCAACAGAAACCTGACAGAACTGTATGAGTGATACGTTTTACGTTTGTACAAATGAGATCATCTTGCTAATGAATTTTACAAAATTACCTCAATTACAATTATAATCCAAAAGCTTCCTCTAATCCCTACTATTAAAATTGCTTTCTTTAATACATAACAGCTGAATCGCCTACTCTGAAAAGGGTTTAAGCCCAGTGAATTGAGCTAGCACTGCACCAGGACTCCATTATGCCTCTTAGGTACTAGTCAGAGTTCCTGCTGGTTTGAAGTTGCATTACTCCTTTTCCACTCCTCTACATTTCAGAGAATAACATCTTCCTATCTGTAATCCCAAAAATAAAATCTACACTATGGTGGAAGGTGCCAAAAGCATATCAGTTATTGGTAGAACTTAAGATTGATCTTTTCGAAGGAAAGAAATGTAATTTAAGTGTAATTTACATTATGCAGTTCTACTATAGAATTCCAATGCCTTGGAAATTGAACACAAAATCTACTTTTATATAGACTGAAACTTACTGTTGCATCAAGAAAGGAACACATGGGAATTATTTTTAACTTAGGATTCAAATATTTCAAATTTGGGCATTAAAAAGGATGTGTGGGAAAAGAAAAATTTGATGTAATTTTTAAGCTACTTTTTATTTTAACAATTCCAAAACAGTTCCAAATTTAAATGATTATCCAGAGATATGGATCTGAACATAATAAGGACGGTAATTTTTGTTAGAAATTAGACATACGAGGCTTCTCGGATATTTACTGAAATTGGGCTGCTTAAATTAAAATGGTCTGTCAATGTCTGCTAAATATACCAAATTTTTTCAGAGAGAGTTGAAAAAGACACAAGAAAGAAGAAAGAAAACATGTTAACACAGTAATCAAACATGCTGAGAATATTTAGACAAAGGAACCAAACAATTCAAACAATTCAAAAGAAGACTTAAGTGTATATTTATTCTCAAGTATATGAAATGATGGGTTTTAGTAACTTGCTGAATAAGGACATTATTCCACGCTACTGGAATGCAGTAAATCAAATTCTAATTAATCGAAGTCTCATTCAAAATGACAAAATAATTTTCCAAGAAGGGCCTATTGAACGCAAGCATGGACTTCAAGATTCTTAATACAGAAGTCCCTAACACGTACAATCTAGGTATTTATCAACTGAAACTTAGGAATTTATAATTACACCTCCACCAAAAGTCATTCCAAATCAAAAACAAAGGGAAAACAAGCCTGATTACTTCATTATTGAAATATCAGCTCTATTTTTTCTCTCTTAAACAGTCTTGATGTTTCACCTAAGTGGAGCCATAAAGAATTTTTAAAAATTTATTTTACAGAAAAAAAGACGGCCTAAGGACCTGAATCTAGACAAAGATTATCTGAATTTTTTTACTGGTCTTAAATACAACTGTGGTGTGTGATCCTAGGCAAGTCAATTAAATATTTTGTGCCTCAGTTCCCCAGCTGTAAAATGAGAACAGGGAAGTTTCTTATTCCCTCCGGCCTGCTTCAACTGTTCATAACTAAAACCTCTTCAAGACCTTCTTTTTTATTATCCTTGAAAAAATAGTTTGTTGTGTTTTTTTTTTTTTCCTAGGAAATGTACAAAGCCTGCAAAGCTCTTAAGCTCCACTACCAGCATCCTGATCAGCTGCGTAAACTGTTGG